TGTGCATCACTCAGATGTAGACCCTCAAATCATCTCTGAATTCATGCCGACACTGTCCTTCCTTCTGGAGGGTGGCTACTGTTGATCCTCATGGTCCCTGTGTGTGTTGTGAAGTAGCCACCACTCCAAGCTCACTCCTGTGATGAACTACAAGCTCACATTTAGTTTACTAATTTGTATTGAGCTTGTAGTCCATCACAGGAGTGATCTTGGAGTGGTGGCTACTTCACAAACACACACAGGGACCATGAGGATCAACAGTAGCCACCCTCCAGAAGGAAGGACAGTGTCAGTATGAATTCAGAGATGATCTGAGGATCTACAGCTGAGTGTAACACAAATAAGAAAATGTTTTGTTAATAATTAATTAAGGTACTTGAATGCATTTTAAAGATTTAACTCCTGAGTTTAGTGTCACTTTACCCATTGATTAATGGCTATGTTATTAAAGATGCAAGCTTTCAGGATTCCTTAGAACCCTTCTTCAGGTTTTATACATTTCTGGAAATGGCTATGAAACCCACATATTTACAAACGGTAAAAAGGAGGAGTAATACAATATAAATATTTTTTTTAAATACAACTATTTTTTCTTGATGCTCTTGGGTGGTAAAGGGTGTTATAAAGGGTTAGGCTAGCCATACACATGTGTAGACTCCTCTCATTCAGCCCTGCTTTGCTTTAGCGTGTTGTAGTGTCATCAATTTTGAGTGGCACCCCAAGGCAACACAGCTCTGGCTCACATATCTGAAGGAAACTTCCCTACCTTGTGTTGTGGTCCACCGCATGAAAAATGCTGCATACCCATTTTTTGGTCTGGTCTTGCGCATTGGCAGCCGATTCAACATGTATGAGCAGCCTTAATGCAACGTATGTTAACTTGTGACAACACGCTATCTCCAGGGGGAGTCTGTTCCACATTTTCACAGCTCTATGAAGAATCCTTTCCGTGTACAAATGTTAAACCTCTTTTCCCCCCCAGACAGAAAGAGTGCCCCCTTGTCCTTTGCAGTGACCTTAAAGTGAATGATTTGGCACCAAGCTCACTATATGGACCATTTATGTATTTATACATGGTGATCATGTCCCCCCTTAATCCATGCCTCTTATGAGTTTAGTTACCCTTCTCTGCACTTTCACCAGTTCCACAACATCTTTTTTTTTGAACTGGTGCCCAAAACTGAACTGCATATTCTAGATGAGGTCTTACTATTGCTGTGTACAGGGGCAGGATTACGTCCCCATCTCTAAAGTCTAGACCCCTTTTAATACAAGAAAGTATTTTGCTTGCTTTAGAAACTGCAGCTCGACATTGCATGCTATTATCTGCCAGAACACCCAGATCTTTCTCCATCATTGACTCCCCCAAACATACTCCCCCTAGAGTGTATGACGCAACCATAATAAAAAAAATTACAGTTCAACCAGTTTATGAAAGCATTGTTTTATTAATACAAAAATATATCTGTACACATTAACAGTTCACAAAGTAACAATACATTTGTTTCTTTACAACTGGAAATGGACACTTGGAAATGAAAATACATCGATGATGAGATCTCACGTGGGAAGACTGACACCTAGTGTTCAACCAAATAATAATAATTTAAACAAATAAAAAATTTCAATTGATTTGTACTTTGCTACGCCAAATAAACTCAACATTTCTAGACAAAATGTGTTCTAACAAGAATAACTAAAGCACTATTTCAGTAAACAAACAACCTAATTCTTGGTAAAACAAAAAAAAAAAACATGTCACCTGGCATTCTAGATTTCCTTCATACTAAGGATAAAAAAAAAAAAAAAAAACTACACCATTAAACTGTAAAATACAGAATTACTGGAATCCTTTGACCTTATTAAAAAAATACAAGATTTACATTTCACATAAAACACAGTAGGGTCCACGAGTCTAACTCCACTACTAAGACCTGTATCTATTTCTTTATTTACTCCGCTGAGATTTCCAAACAACGGGATAAAAAGCTAACAAAAAGGTATTTCATTTAGGAAAAACATTTATAAAGTCTATGCTACCAACTCCTCCTGTTACTGCATGCACCAGGAAACCTTTAGAAAATGTAACATTTATTCAAAAATATGCACAGAAACTAAATTAAAACCCAACAAACTTTTTTATGAGATGTATTGGTGACATACAAAGCATGGTCTCCCCAGTAAGGAAATATGTTCTCCAGTGTGCTATGTTAAATGGTCATTTATATCATAAATATCATCTTGGATCTACCTTTGAACACCTGCTGGGGGAGGGGAGAGAGAGAGACAGTGATACAGAGAAACAGAGTGAGATAGTGAGAGAGAGCAAGAGAGAGAGAGAGAGAGACCTTTTAACCACTTAAATGCCAGCATGTTGCACCCCCTCCATTAGCAGGTCATTTTTTTTCAGTTTCAGCGCTGTGCAAGTTTGGCTGAGAATTTCTCCGTCACACAACACTTTCTACACAATAATCACACATTTGCCCACGTAAGACAGTCTGTTCTTTAAATAGCAAATTATGATATAAATGATTATTACATGGAGAGACCATTGTTAACTAAACATCTCAAGAAGATGGTTATTGGTTTTCATTGATTTGATTCATGTTTTTATGCATATGTTTTGAACAAAGTTGCATTTTCTATATCTTTTCTGAAACTCATTTCTGTAATATGGAAGGGAATGTTTTTAGTTAGAATTAGTAGCAAAGAAATAATACATCATTAGAAATCACACAAACCATGTATGATTGTAAGTTTTGTATCTTTTCATGATTTTCTTGTTAATACTCAATTTACCGTACATTGTTTCGGTCTTTCTCTAGAGACACATAAGTAACTTAAATACCAAGACAAGTGGCCCTAATCAAGTTAATTTAATGGTCCTTTAACAAATGCAATATACCAGTAGCCCTGAATTTATGCTGGGGTTAGGTTCCTGAGGAAATGATTGTAAATAGAAACCCAGTATATAATATAAGTCAATGGGAAGTGAGGGAGTTATGTTCCAGGCCTTTCTCAAAATTGACATAAGTAATAAAATACAGGTACATTATATTTAAAGCTGCATGAGCTCACACACAGGTACAAATAAAATGTACCTGTATTATGTTACTTATGTCAATTTAGGAACGCAACTTCCTCATTTTACACTGACTTACATGATTTACTGGATTTCTATTTAGAACCATTCCTTGTTTTGAGTGAGGCCTAGAACCTAACTCCCTCACTTCCCATTTACACACATTATATATTTGGTTTCAATTTACAACGCTCCCAAAAAAGGGAGCTATTTTGAATCAGTACAAATTGAACCACTGTAAACCGATGGCCCCCTTTAATAAAGTGAAGGTTCTTATTCATCCAGGTCATGGTATATGTGTAAAAAATAAGTCAAGGCATCTGGACTGGTATTTTTCTTGAAGACGTTTCACTGAACATCCGACCAGCTTTCTCAATTCAGAATTAAGAGGAAAACCCTCTGGTCAGGATTCGGCAGTATACCTACATCTAAAAAGGAAAAAGGTCACTCCTTTGAAGACAGTCAAGTACGCATCCTAGACTGGGAGGAGGACTGGTTTAAAAGGTGTGAATAGAGGTGGGGGGGTGAGACATCTATTGTCTTCCACATACAATGCTGTTTTAACGCCTCTCTCTGGGCAGATTACTAACACCTCCTAGACTCCAATTACGCAAATGCGATCAACTCCTGGTTGCGACTTACAGATTATGTGGATTGGAGCGACATTCACCAAATTTATTCCGGGAGAATTTTTGTACAAGTCATTGTGAATTGAGAAAGCTGGTCGGATGTCCAGTGAAACGTCTTCAAGAAAAATACAGCAATTCCAGTTGCCTTGACTCATTCTTTACAGATACACCTATATTAAAGTTACCAATTTCACAAGGTCTTTACAAATGTTTAAAAAAGCACTGGTTGAAAAAATATTGTACTATCCAGGTTTTCTAAATACTTTCCATGCAAGACAATATTCTAACAAGCTTCACTGAAGCAGTTTGAAGCAAAATACTCTCCCGAATCGTGAAAAACTTTCCGTGCATTAAGCTGCAGGCAATTATGTGTCCAGGGAGCAGTAGAGCACAAGCTGGAGATGAAACTTTATCATTTGGGTCATTTACATTCCAAGCAGTAACAACAAGCTGATCAAACCAATAACAGCAACCGAAAAAGCTACAGAACTAACTCTGTGATGATACAAATCTTCATGCATTCCATCATAGTAAACAAACTATAAAGCCCCTTTAATACTGGTGGCGTCCGTTCCGATCAGCAGGGGATTCGTTTAGATTCCCCGTTGATCAGAGCAGTGTGAAATGGGCGTTACTGTTGCGACATCTGTATCCAATTCAGTTTTCTCCTCCATCTTACAGCTTCATTCATTTCTACCAAGTTTTTCAATCGGATTGGTTGCATTGGAGCAAAGGAACCAATGTCATCTGCTGTTATATATTCATACAGCCAAGAGTGCTTTTAGATAATAGTCGTTGCAACTTACTTTTGTACTATGTTGTTACTATTGTATGGACAGTGCCTTCAGACTTTTTACATGTTTATCAAGAAACATCCCTCTCACAATATGCATTCTGATGAAGTAACTTGTGTTCTGGTTCATTCATTGTGCACCACTGGAATACCAACCCCTAATAACTGTATGGTTTGCTGATAATAGCCTGATTAAACACAAAGCAAGTATAGAAAATGAGTTGGCATGGCACATTGGGAGTCTCGGTTTATGCAGTTCCACATATTATTTTGGCAAGAGTGAGTCCTTGCTGTAAGGTTCCAACTATAAACTGGAATGGTTGCCCTGGCTCAATCAGAAGGGGGGGCAATCTTCTCTATTGGGGTTTACAATTTCTATTAGTGGAAGAGTATTAATCCATTTAAGTTTTTTTTTTAAATCAGAACAGGTAATATTAGCCGCAATCAAAATCTGGGTGAGATAATGCAGTTCTGCAATTCGGTTCAAGGATTGTGTTCACCACATAAATCTCTGAGTGTCTTCACTATCAGGCCAATGAAAAGTCTGATTCAGAAACAAGTAGAATGTAAATATATTGATAGCAATATAGAGTGACAACTCTAGAATTAGCTTGCCAGTAGATGGAATTGATGTATTTACTTTAAAGATGAGGTATGGAAGGATGAAATAACGGAACTCCATTAATTTCTGAGGAATAGTAGCAGCCAATATACACACAAGGAACATCATGAGCCACAGTATGGACTTGGACTTAAGAGCATCTATAAAACTCCAAGCTGCAAAAAGATATAAAGGAACCAACAAATACCTTACCAATTCATGTCTCTGGAATATTTTTTTCCAGACGTAAAATGTGTAATGTCGATTATCAGCAATCAGATATTTGTGAACATAAGTGAACTTCCATATTAAAAACAGAAACAGGCAAGCTAAAGTTGTGTATAGGAAAGGATGTTTCCAAACCGACTTGAGGAAATCTGCAATCTTCTGAGTTGAAATGATGACTGGAAAAGAAAATACCAATGTAAAAGCAAAAAAATAAAACAGCTGGGGGAAATTCAAACAGGCCTCATGATTGCTTCTGTCGCCTACTACTATGCCACCATTGATTACAATAAAAGCCAGGAAACCAAGAACTAAAGTGACATATGGCCAGGTTAACCTCAAAAGTGTCAGGATGTTCCTGGGATACAAGGAGTATTGGATAAGGAATCTTACAACTGCTGTTACTTCTGAAAAAGCACCTTTAGAGGAAACTTTTTCATCGGTCTTCTTCAGATGTGTCCTCCAAGCGTCCGTCACCTTTTCAGCTATAACGTTTCCAGCACAGAAAATGATCCAGATGATGTTTGTCTGGCGGAACAAAAATGCACAAAACCCTAGAAGAGCTGCGCTTTTATGATTTCCATAGAGGCACATTAAATAAGTGAAAAGGACAAAAAATGTAGATCCCGCATCTGTGTAGTAGAGGAATGTGAAAAAAAATAAAGTGGGAAATACATAAAGCGTAAAAATGAATAAGATTCTTTTCACAACTGAAACCTGGAAAAAAAAAAAAAAAGACGAATGACACATTATTTAAATGCTGTCCCCCAATAAGAGATGTTCATCTTCAGTAAAATCCTGACTATCCAACACTATTCTGTTTAATCCCATCTATCCAACAACATTGTAATGCTTTTAGTAAATACTAAAGCAGAAGTACATTTTCTGAACATAAATTAGTAATCTGCATCAATTTAAGGCCTCCTTTATAGGGCGCTATTAGTTCTGATCAGCACTGGATCCGTAGGAAAACAGATGTCACTGTGACATCAATGTGCGGATGTGGACAAGTGTCCATTTACATCAGATTATCCCCGATCCGCCACAATCAGGTTTGCCAAAACGTTCTGTTCCATTTTGTTTTTCAGACCTAGACAGAGTCAGGAGTAATCAGATGTAAACGGACGCACGTCCGTGTATGATCCAGCTGCCCATAGACTAACATTGGGCTTCCGATCAGATCTGTCTAAAAAACTGACAGGCAACCCATCTGTAAGGGGCTTAAAGCAGAACTAACCCTTTTTATGCAAACACTCTGAAATTACAAGTTAAAAACTGTTCATTATTATGCGCATACTTGTAAAACTGTGTGTCTTGTGGCTTTTCTGTAGGGTTTCCTAGCTGCTGCACAGACGATCCAGGACCGGGGATTCCTTATAACCACTTGGCTTCAGCTCCCCAGGCTATACAGCTCAGGGTTAATAGGTTTTTCCCCATCTCTCTTAGCATGTCATTATGCTTCTACATTGGCATGAGGGACAGAAACCAAAGTGGCTTTTCTCAGTCCTGCCTACTCACTTAAAAGACAGCTGACATTTTTGACAAGTAGCATATGGATTATAAAACAGCAGGAGACAGGGAGGGATAAAAACGCTCTATTACACTTACGATTCCTGGGGAAGTAAAAATAAAAATCCTAAAAAGCACTTCCTGTGAGGGCAAGATTACATCACTTTCCTCACATCATGTCACTGACCTCCTATACTCCTTTTAATGCAGATGATGAGACTAGGCAGATAGCATTTGGATAATATGAGATATAGATAATGGAAAAGGTAACCCAAATTAGCAAATATGCAAAATCCTAAACTTGCCATTTCAGAGTGTACACAATCAAAAATGCATACACTTCATTTCTGCTGAAGCTACTACAGAGCCTGTATGGTGCTCAGCTGAGTGGCTTCCCCTCTGCTCTAAATTGCTGGGGGTTGCTTGCTTGGCACAGCAGCCACTCAAGCGAAGACCTCAAGTTTTTTTTTTCAATGAAAACAAGGCGTTCTCTGATTGGATGAGGGGTGGTGGTGATGACACAATCCGCCCTTGTTTAGAGAACAACTTTTATTCAGTTAAAAAAATACTAGGTATTCCCTAAATGACTGCTATGCCAAGCAAACAACCCCCAGTGTTCTTAGAGCAGAGGGGAAGCCCCTCAGCGCCATACAGGACATAGATGATAGCTGTAAAGCACTGTAGTAGCTATGGGTACTACAGTGATTTAGAGGATCCCGATGGGCCAACCAGGTACATTATATGCATACTTACATTGAGCCAAGCTGAACCAAGTATGCATAATACTTTATACCTGTTCAGCTTTATATGCATCTGCCATAAATCCATGTTAAGGAAACTGGCGTGAATGAGAAGTTTGCAGTATGCAGACTAATTCGGAGAATGGCTAAATACTGGATTTTTCTTTACATCAAACATAAAAACGGTTTCCTGCTTGAGTAGCATTAAAGCCATATCAAAAATATTGAGGCAGCTTATATTAAAACAGAAGAGATTATTAAATGGAGGTGTTTCTTGTAACAACCAGTCAGATGTTTGCCTGTGATAAACCCATGTGCTGACATAACAGATACTTGATGCAGTATTTAGGAAAAAAAAAGAATTATACTGAAGGATTGTATTCCACTTATGTTTCTACGCTACAATTAGAAAGAATGAAAAAACAAATAGTATGCTCCTTAGGCAATATGGAATGTCCCGTCATCTACGGCAACCTGTTTGTTTATTTGTATTCATTTGTGTTTAGTTTCTGCACATACCTGTATAGGCAAATGTTCATTTCTTTTATTTTTCTTTACCTGGCACAGTATTACTAGTTCACTCTTTCTGTTAATCATTGCTACTTTTGGAGCCCAACCCATTAAATGATAAATGTTAGAAGTCAAGGTCTGGCCCTGAGAAACTTACCCTTGTGTGTAACTTGTTAAGGATTAAATAGAACATGTACAGGTTGCCCAGACTGAACAGGAGGTTAATAAATCGCAGCATTCCCGAGGAGCAGATGACATTCTTGCTCCATCCAAACATCCAGGCAACAGGTTTCACAATACCCACAGATGTCAGATACAGGCCAGGCAAAGTTGTGATCATAGGATCCCACTGAAAACAAAGCACATGAGATAAAGTAAAGGAAGAGGAAACATATCCAGTCAAATTATTGTATTATTTGAAGTCAATGTGCCTCACACATGGGAAGCAAAGGTTACCTGCGGTAAAAGTTGCATGGCCAAATGCGCAATAAATCCAGAGATACAGGCAGAAAATCTTGACTAGTCTTGTGAAAGCTGCACCTATCCCCACACTTTCCCTGCTTCATGTTACTTAGGGGTAATATTAGAGTAAAGATGCCCTCCTATACTCATGGATCCTAGATTTAACTTCATGAAATCGCCCAATTGATCATGTATTTACACCAATCTCTTCACAGATGCAAGCCTAGGCATTATTACTTTGTTTGCCATCTATGCCCTCAGAACATTTTCACCTCATTTTCTTTTAAAATGTCAAAAAAACAAACAGATTTATGCTCAGATCTACTAAGTCCTCTTCCAGACAGCTTTACAGCTTGTTACCTGACATAGAAGGAAGTGTTGTTTTTCTGGGGTAGTTACATTTCACAAATAAATTGGATGGCACGTGGATTTGGAAGTCTTTGTGACACAGTTGCAAAGAAAGGGCTACTCTTTGTAATCCTCAGGCATCCTAAAAGCCATTCATGGTGACCAATACCGTTGCTGTGGATATTATCATGAATAGTCTGGTCCTGCTGAAAAGATTTGCTTATCAGTTCATAAAGCGAACCTATATACAAGATATGGACATTCAAGAATTGACATGTTCCTAAAATGATATTAAAGGGTTATTAAACCCTCGCAGGTTTTTGCACATATCTACTGCTAGCAAGCAGTAGATACATGCAAAACAATTTAAAAAAAATAAACTTTTTCAAAGGGTTAATACTTACCTGTGTCTCCGAAGCGCGCTCCCGTCCGAACATCTGAAAACTTAACGGGCGGCCACAAAGGATCTTGGGGCGGGCGCTTGCGCAGTTCAGATCTTCGGCCGGGAGATGAGGAGAGACACAAGGTAAGTTTATGTAGCAGCGTGCACCCGCACAGACTCCGTGGGACATCAGAGGAGAGGAGGACAGCTATCCCAAATGCAGATGATGTCACTTACAATGGATGCAGCTCCTTGATGTTTAAAAGTTTTAGTTTCTTGCAGAATCAGTTGGTCCCCTGAGCAATGGCCCTGATAACCTGTTCTAGGGTGTCTCTTTTGTGTGTGCTAGTAAGCCATGTGTTGTCTTCACAAACACACAGACATGGCAAGGCAAGGCAAGCCACAGCCCTACTTCCTGACCCCTGCTCCTCCTTCCTACAAACTAGTAGATGGACAGTAGTTGGAGACTCTGCTGTCTCTTGTGATCTTGTACTGGACAGGAAGCTCAGGGAAGCTGAGCTGAGAGAGCTGGAGCCAGATGTATGGAAACATGATGACTAACTGTTGGGCAAAAATGTAAAGAAATACCTTGCTGGGCAATGTATATTTGTATGATCTGGATTCATTATTGAAAAAAAAAAAAGTTTGAGAGTTTAATACTACTGTAACAAGCAAGGATTGAGCTTTAAAAGAAGAACTCCGTCCAAAAATTTTCTCAACCCTTGCAGTGGAGCTACCCTCCCAGTGCAAGGGTTAATTGCTTGTTGTGGGCTACTCCAACCAAAAATAGATAAATAAATCAGCCAATTGGCTTACTTTATTTAGAAACATATGATTAATACATTTAAGAGAGTATGAACACAACAGACACTGTGACAAGGACCTTATATTAAAATTGGCAACGTTGTCAATGCATCACAATGAAACAACTGAATCACTGAAACAACACCATATCCACAACCCTTTCTATTTTAAGTATTGTGACCACTGATATATATCGCTATACTTAATGTTTTGACGAAGCCCCGAAGTAGGCGGGGCGAAACCGGTAAACAGCTGTTTGGAGCAACCCGACCCACATGTCTTCAGACTGCCTATGCTGATATAGAGCTCTTAAACTAAATAGTGGACTTCAGAGACTGCCGCTGTATTTCTCCCTGGCTGGGAGATCTGACATGCGAGTCATCGTGCTTTTCTAATGAGAGACTGCAACTGTGAGAGGCGTTCATCCTGAGGCGCACTTCCTAGCACTTTGAATGAGAAAAAGCTCTTTGTTTTTGGGCAGCATACTGCTAACGGGTGCTGGATGATAGATTGAACTGCCACATGAGGAACTTGTTTTCAATCACGAGGAAAATAGCAAGATTTTCTCTGCTCTTCTGTCTGTTTGACTTATTGCAATTTATGTCCCACATGATGTGGAAGATTCAGTACAGTAATGCACTGAGGCCTTGTTCACACCGAAAGCGGCTGCATTCCAGAGCGGTAGCTGGAACGCACCGCGATCGCTAAGAAACTTCTCCCCGCGTTTTGGGGCGTGGCGGTGCATTGAATTCAATGGACCTTGCCAGCGTTCCGTTCCACTGCAACGCAAAAAAATAGGGCTTGTATTGTGTATGTATGGATGTGAGATGGGGACCTTAGATTGTAAGCTCCTTGAGGGCTAAGTAAATTGTTTTGTAAATAAAATATGGAAACACTTACATAGTTACATAGTATTTGAGGTTGAATTAAGACACAGGACCATCAAGTTCAACCTTTGTGTGTCTGTTTGTGATTGTGCGTGTGTATGTGTGTCTTGAATGTCCAAAGCCTGGCCATAGGATCACTTTAGAGTAAACCTGGTTAGACTTATTTCTAAGAATACCAGAGGGTGACAACAGCCGCAGCGGTCAGCATGATTTCGTATATAGAAGATTGTCCCTGGACGCAGGATGGATGTGTCCAGCGACAATCACCTATCCCAAACCACATGTAAGCCTATTAAGTACCAGATGTGGCTGCTATCAACCTGTCATTTACTTCAATGGGTACATCGGCCGCATCTGAACAGGGACACCTGGGATTCCTACCTCTGGAGTCCCAGAAGTCCATATGTAAATATAGCCTTCAAGTCCCAAGCTGGGCCTGGTCTGCACTGACACAAATTCCTATTTGCCCATCAATAAAAGCAGCCTTGCTAACTAATAGAAATGTGGAGGAGGAAGGAAGCAAGAACTTGAGATTTACAGGGTTATTCACTAAAGGGTGAAGAGTTTGGAGAAGGCGGGAGAAGTGAACAATCTAGGACAACATAGCTGACTTGGAGAAATTCTCCAATTCAGGTCACTTTGCAGTTCAGCTATGTTGTCCTAGATTGTTCACTTCTCCTGCCTTCCCCAAACTCTTCAACCTTTTGGTAATAACCCCCTTAAGAGTTTTGAAGCTGATGTAGGCATATACATACATCTCTAGTTGCCTTCACGTTAGACCTGCACTGTCAATCTCTGTTTTAACAGAATGATTTTGAGGAACTGCTCTACTGGTTGCATCATAAGAGTGGCAGGAAAACAGCTCTCAGGACCTCCCACAGTTTCTCAGCACTGCCGGAGAGACCCAGAGCTGTATTAATCAATTAGCAACTCGCATTGATGTAAGCTCTGTAAGGAAAATCCCCTTAAGCTTCAATATAAGAGATGAGGTAATAATCTGTAGTGTTCTCCTTTGACTTAATGGTGGTTTAAAATTCATTTTTTATGGTCTGGCGCATACCTAAGGCTCTAAAAGCTATCTGTAAATTATGCTTCTACCTTTCAGAAAAATGTAGAACTTCTGTCTCCTCAAATTCTAATGACAAAACAAAGCTTTTAACAATGATGTAACAGAAGGATACAGAAAAATTAGATAAAAACAAAAAAGAAAAGTACTGTACATCTATTGAAAGGCAGCGACTTTAACAGTACAGGAAAAAAAAGACTTTTTACTTATCTACATTCATAAATATTCATTTCTCAAGGGAAGGCTTAACAGATCATCCATCACAAGCAGAAATCCTCCACATTAATGTGTCTGAAATGATTAAATCATATTCATACACTCACCAGCTAGTGTAGAAAGCTGCAACTGTGTGGGCACCATGTGCTGCAGGCCTAAGAATTAGTCGGAATGTATGTTTTTGTCACATCAATGTATTATTACTTCAATCTGCTATCTATGCCCTCAGAACACTCTCCCTTCAAACATCATGGCTCATTTTCTATTAGGTTGCCAAAAATGCACATTAGTACTGAGATCTACAAAAGCTGAACTCCGGGACAAGCAAATATTGTCTGAATAGAAGAGGCATGTGTATTCTTAATTGAATCTTGGATGTGCTTTCTGCATTTCTTACAGATCTGTGTTCCAATACATTTGTTTGGCTAAAGTGAGAAGATTAAGAACATCAGGTCAGGTTTTTGGTGCCATCTGAATCCCTGTTCAGCACATTCCCCCATAACTCCTTTCAGTACAACACATTTTAGTGGATTGAGGAAAGCTTAGAACATTCAACAATGTTTTTATTAGGGATGCACCGATATATCAGCCGAAAATTACACCTCTGGCAAAATGCCGAAAGTGCAATTTTTCAGCCGAGGAGTGTTTATTTACAGACACTCAGGGATCTCTGAGTGTTTGTAAATAATTGAGGACATAGTATGTTTAGTGTGTCCCCAATTATGAATGAATAGGAAGTGATCTACATCACTTCCTGTTCATTCATTATTTTGGACACAGTAAACATACTATCTCCACAAGTTATGAATGAACAAGAACACTCAGCATAGAGGCTTCCTGTTCATTGATAACATGGGCTGCAGAAAAAACATTAAAAAAGTTTATAAAAAGTAAATAAAAATAAAATATTTTTTTTTTTTAAATTTCGGTTTCGGCCTAACATTTTTTTTTCATTTTGATTTGACATTTTCATTTCGGCACACCTCTAATTTTTATGTCCTTGCTCTCCTTTCCCATTGATGCCAGCAGTCCCTCTTCGTTGTATGTGACATGAATTAAGAGAAAGCGTCCCACATGAGGTAGGAAATAAAAACCTGACCTGATATTTTTAACTCTTCCTCGCTTTAAAAAATAAATAAAAAAATAGGCTGGAAATAGGCTCTAAAGAATATTCAAATGTTGTAAATGAATGAAAAGTACCAACTAGCATTTGCCATTCAAGGCAACTGAAATGAGAATGCAGCACAACCTACCTAGAATGCATGTTTTGGGGTGAACAATCCCTAAGTCGATTGAAAACAAAGTGTACCATGAAATGTAGAAAATACCCCAATGTAATAAAAACAAAAGCAAGCTTGATTAGGCCTGGTTCACACCTGGGCGTTTTACAGCGCGTTCCTACGCGCTGGAAAACGCTCAACATGTGAAAACCAATAATTGCCTATGGGCATGGTTCCCACTTGGGCATTTTACAGCGCGTAGGAACGCGCTGAAAAATGCCCTACGCCCAAAGAAGTACAGGAGCTTCTTTGGGGCGTATTTGCCGCGCGTTTCTTTTACCGCAAATCGCTGTAAAAACGCGCAGCAAACGCGCATAGTCCGTACGCCCAGGTGTGGACCCAGCCTTATACTTAGTGATTTGACCCATATTTGTTGTACCACGTAAATTAATACAAAAGCCTGAGCAACATATTAAAGGGCCTCTATGTTCAAAAACTAAAACCAAAATTGTCTCTACTGAATTTCCATAAGTTCCATCCCACTCCTAGTAACTATAGCAATCTACAAGTCTGTAAACTTACTTATCGAAGATGTCCATAGGATGTACTTCCTCAATTTACTTAGCCCTGTGACCATGCACTTCCTTGTATCCCCACCCTCACACAGTCTGCTGCCTTCTGAATTACAACTCAATGTCTGAACAATGTAACATCATCAGGGCTTGTTGGAAGCAATGCATGAAGGGATATGTAGTCTTGAGGAATCAAGATTGCATCATATCAAGCAGCAGGGAAAGAAACATAACAAACACTGGAAATCCAGGAAGTTGTGACGTCAGACAGAAGGCAGCACTCACTACATAGAAGGGATTTTCTCAAGTAAGCTTTAATTGCATTATCAGAAACAACTCTAGTATGTATCCCTATTACAATGCTGATGTTATAACAGGATAGAATATGCTGGGACTTTAGAACAATGCACTTATATGTAAATTAAAGCAGAACTCCAGTCACAAATTTTACTAACCCTTGCAGTGGGACTACTCCCGCACTGCAAGGGTTAAGGTATACTTATCTGATCCTCGGATCCAGCCAACTCTTAGACCGGTCCCTCCGCCTTACTCTACCTCCGCTGCCGCAGTCTAAGGTCCCTGAGTCATCACGTTCTATACACAGTGTATAAGACATGAGGACACTGAGGCACATACCATTTCTGCAGCATAGGAAGGGACAGGCTGGGGGGAGCGCTGTGATAGCCGGCCGACTCCGAGGATCAGGTGAGTATAACTTTTATTTTACACAAAAAAGAGCAGTTAACCCTTGCACTGTGGGGGCAGCCCCACTGCAAGGATTTATACCAGACTATGTGGTCTATTCATAAAATGTTTTCCACAAGAGTTATGCATTTCCAACTGAATCCAATGAGAAAAATCTTTAAATCTTGCATAAAAGCTATATGAATCCTGTGTTCCAATTTGCCTGATTTCAGATCATACTCCAACAGATAAAGCAAAATCATGGAGATGGGCAATGAAAAATGAGGAGACAATAAAGGAAAAGCTAAAAGCACTAAAAATCAGGAGACAGATGCAGCAAAACTACAGAGAGGCACCAAAATAAAGAGATAAATAAAGCAAAACTGAGGACGAGGGATACGGAAAATCAGAGACACATTTTAAAAAGAGATTTTCCATATCAAAGGGAATCTGTAACAAAATGATGTCAGAAGCCTCTGAGGAAGAAGCTATTCCCTGACTTATACATTGTATATGAATTCCCAGGCGGTGAAGCGAAATAGGTTCAAATTCCCTGACCTAGAACTGGAGCATCTTTGAAGTAAGGGCATCTCCTGATGCAGCTATTTTGCTTTGAGACAGGTTTCTTTATATTGGAAAATGGGCCCTTTTATATAACAGCACATATATGATTCAACCGTCCAGATTTTGTCAAGAATGGAAACCCTTATGTAAAACAGACACAAGAAGACCGGTATTGGTTTTAACCACGAACACCTAAATTCTCTGCAATGGGAGCGAAGCTGATACACCGGACAGGTCCTCTCTTAGTGATACCATTGCATACTAAGTGGCTGACGTATAAAGGATTCACCCAGAGTGTAGCTGCCATTCGCACGGCATTAAAGCCACTAGATAGTGCTAGCTGAACATAGGAATTGCCTGTGCTCCTCAGCGCAATCTAGCGACTGTAATTCCGTGCAAATATTCACCCAGCTATACAGCGGATGAAGCCTTTAAACATCAGCCCCTAAGTGTCTGTGCCCATCAACTCTTTAAAGGAGAACTACGGGGTCAGGGCTTTTCCCCATAGTTCTCCTTAGGGTAACGGTAGGACATAAACTAGCGTCCTCCCGTCACCCAAAGCTCAATATATCGTGAGCTACAGCTCGCGGTATACTGAGACGCCGCAGCCGGGACGGATCCCGACATTACTATCTGGATCCACCCAGCTGCGTGAGTGACAGCTGGCTCACTCTATCTAGAGTCAGAGCCAGCTGTACCCACCCCCTCCCCCGTCCGTTCCGCCAGTCAGCGCTGGAGGGTCGAACAGGGAGGGGGAGGGGGGAATCCCTGCAGGGAGACGTGAGTGACAGTCACAGCTCTCTGCAGGGACAGGATCGAGAAGTGAGCGTGCGGCGGTATGTGTTCGCTCACTTCCCGATCTACTGAGCCAACATGTGACAGTTTCATTGTCACACGTCGGCTCGAACTATGAGGCTGAGTGATTTTCACTCACCTCATAGTTCTCCTTTAAGATCATGCTTACTGACAGCACAGCTAATGCACGAGACATCGTCTCTGCATCACCTTTATGCAGTCAGCAGTTTTCTATATGTAGCAAGTATATATTTGATCATAAACAATATACAAAAACAGAACTTTGAAAGATTACCCACACTGATAAGATTTACATTATGTTTCTCACTAAAAAATGCAAAACAAATATGTATTTTGATATTGAATTTTCAAAAGTTAATTTTCATAAGCTGAATGTGGTTTTTCATTCAAGAAACTCCATTAATTTCCAAAATCGAATGTTAAAATCAAACAAAAATTTGAATGACATGTTACAAGTCTCTGATGGCATTATCAAATGTTCTGACGGGATTTCATATGAACATTCCTACAAAAATCTACAAGTTTATGGCCAGCTTTAGCATTATCATTTGGGCTACAAACCCCCCTCCCGGCTGTGCTTTCACAGTATCTTACTTCACCAACTGGGCAAAAAGAATCAAATGGGGTCACTCACACACATACAAAGGACAGAATAAGGTAAGGCACTCTATTAGAACACCTCCTTTTCACTGTCTGCTGGCCCATGTTTGGCACCCTCCATCAGTTCCTTCCCAATGCTTCACCGCTATACCTACAGGATTCCCATAACGCTGGGCAGACAAAGTGGCCGACAGTGCAAAACCACCCATCCTCCCATCAGGCTCAATGGTTCACTAAGTTCTTTGGGCAATACTATGACTGGAAATATTGATATTAATGGTACTACTCTGGTAAGGCAGGGGAGCTGGAATTAGAGCAGGGATGTCCAAACTCCGGCCCTCCAGCTGTGGTGAAACTACAAATCCCATGAAGCATCTCCCTCCGGGAGTCATGTCTGTGGCTGTGAGAATCTTGCAAAGCATCATGTGATTCGTAGTTCCACCACAGCTGGACGTCCGCAGTTTGGACATCCCTAAATTAGAGCAAGTGACTAAAGGCCGTGACACACTGCACGCGAAGCAGCGCGGAGCGGGGGCGTGCTGCCTTTGCGAGCAGTGTGTCATGTAATTTTCTGCTCGGCAGCTCAGCTTGCGAGAGCTCGCGGAGCTGAGCGTGCCGAGATGAACAATTTCAACTTCAGCCAATCGGCTCGCGTGTATAAAGCGTCACGATGCGACAGCTGGCAGGTTGTTACGGACGAACCGATTGGCTGAAGGTGCTGTCAATCATCTGACTGCACTCAGCTCACACACTGCACGCAAAGCTCCGTGCCGGATAGCTTTGCATCGCTCTGCACGGCTTCGCGTGCAGTGTGTCACGGCCTTTAGGCTAGGGCTGGCTGGAACCTTTTTCCAATCGCTATGGAATAAGAGAAGTAATACTGTCTTTTAAAACTACCTTTGCAATAATTACCAGTAAAATCTTAGATGCTGGGTAAATGGGAGGTAAACACATAGAATAATTTTAAGAACTGCAAACCCGCCTGGAGTTGGACTTTAAATTGAGTACAGCATCGTTAGGCCCCTTTAGAACCTTAATGTATTTCAATGGAAGACATTCGGCTTTAGTTTTGGATAGCGTAAGCAAGTACTAAAATCCCTATCAAGTTTCTATTGCTGTGTCCCCATTAGGAAGATTCATCCTCTCTATATGGCCTTTTTACGATGATCTCCAAGACAGAAAGAGATGGCAAATCCAACATTTTAGAGTTGTCACCAAAAAAGGAGGTGAGGGAAAATCTTCCAATGGGGAATACCTGTTCTGGTGACAACTGTCTAAGAGGAGGTTTCCACCATGAGGTCACAATACTATTATGCTTACCTGATTAAAGTGTCCCTGGCAGTAGTGCTGAGCTTGGGGGATGTGGAAGACTTCATCCATGTATGGGTCTCTCTGTTCTCGTGTGATTTTTGAGAAGAGTAGGCTGGATAGAAGAAAACAGCCACTAAACAGAGCAGAAAAATAATATCCTTCAAGCTTGTCCATTTTAATGCGTCACAGCAGTCTAAGGATGGAAGAGAAGAGACCATTAGAAGAAATCAAGATGTGCTACAGAGAACATACAAAACGCTAGACATCATTGCTGACAATTTTTACACCCACAGCTTGAATTTAGGAGGATGCCTTCTGAATTGGTCAAAACTTGAGTTGTGGGTGGTCCTCCTGGCATCACCAGGTTCGACAAAAGTTCATTTTCCAAATGACTCCCCTCAAAGGAGCCAGGTAAAAAATGATTGGCCGAACAGTGTGTTCAGGTATTCTGACAGCGGAGGGCTCTGGATGTCAGAATACAATAGCCCAGCAGGGGAGTTCAGTCCATCCGTGCTGTTTAGTGTGGATGGAGGAATCTGTTCTTCACCTCTTAGAGCCCGTTCACATTGAGCGGTTCGCAAATCGTGCGTTTTGTCGCGCGATTTGCATTTTGCGCGATATCGCGCAAATGCTTGCATAGAGCAAGCTTGAATCGCGGCTAAATCCGCTCCAAAAAGGGTCCTGCTGTAGCGACACACGACCCGCGACAGCAGGACCCTTTGCCCCATTGAGAAGCATTGGAGAGCGATATCGCGCGGTAAATTGCAGCGATATCGCGGGAATTACCGCGCGATAAATCGCTCAATGTGAACGGGGTCTTTGGCTGAAAGACAGATTCAGCTCTCAGGCTGAAAGAAAACATGTATGCATGTATGGCCAACTTTAAAGAGAACCTGTGGGGGAAAAAAAGCTAAATTTGTCTGCAGATGCCTTCTGGAGACATTACTAATCTGCTCATTGGCAGGATTTTCAGGTTCATATATTCAGAATGGAGAACAGCTTTGCTTTAAAATACCGTTAATGGGGTGGTAGGCATATTGGTCAAGTTCCCTTCAAATCATAGAATTGAGTGATTTATGAAGGACCTTAGACTATCATGTGCTTTTTAGTAAATGGATAAATGAAATAGTAATTCAATGAAACGGGTCCAGAGCTAAAGTCCTCTCCCTCTCTCACATTCATTATTGCTTCAAGGTCTATTGAGACATATTGGTGTCATTTTCCTGGCAAAGCTGCATAAGAGACAAAATGGAGCATGAATGAAGATGGCTTTGTTCTCCAACATCTGCTTTTACAAAACATAACCAGTTTATACACCCATCTGCTTAAAACTGTACAAAGATTGCTTCTTTTAGGCAACAAGCTAGGGCTTGCCTCCCCCAGTTTCCACTATGCAGCCATTAATCTTATGGAGGCCTTGATGGTCGCCCAAGCAGTAAACACCATAAAAAACATCCTTGATGTTTTTTCTGGAACTAATTGGGCACCTTATCACTTTGTCCCACTCATCTTCTCTGGGCTCCTTCTATTGGCCAACCTGTTTCACCAAGCCCTACTATACAGCATGGCCCTAAACTCTCTGCTGCCCCAAAGCCAGGGTAATCAATGCTCCCCCTACTCGCCAACACCCCCCATGGAGAATGGCAGACCTGCAGCCAAGTGATCTCGGCGACATCTCCGAGATGACTTGTACAAAACAAGCGGCAGCTTCCCCGCTGTACATTTAGCTCTAAATGTAGAAAACAACTACCTGACCGGAACTGCACATCCCAGGCGTCTGGAGATAGAAATTCCCCACCCCTGCTGCCCCGAGGCCAGGCCTTGGTTGGTCTTGTAGGAAATCCGGCCCAGGCCCTAATGTCTGGTATTCATTCTACAATTACTGTCATTGTTGTCTTTTAAACCCGTTCCTTACTAGTATGAAGGACGCTGATGGAATGGGGTCAGGAAGTAATAATTTCCTTCTTGTGTGGAATTACAACAGTTGCACAAAACGTTTTGTATTAACTTTTATCTGTACTAAATGGGAGAGTCAAGAGATGGTAGACTTGATGGACATCAATATTTAAAGGAGAACTATGGGGTCAGTGTTTTTCCCCATAGTTCTCCTTAGGGTAACGGGAGGACACAAACTAGCGTCCTCCCGTTACCCTAAGTTCAGTATACCGCGAGCTACAGCTCGCGGTATACTGAGACGCCGCAGCCGGAGCGGATCCCGACTTAGATGACGGGATCCGCCCAGCTGCGTGAGTGACAGCTGGCTCTGCCTATCTAGAGGCAGAGCCAACAGTACCCGCCCCCTCCGTTCCGCCAGTCAGCGCTGGCAGATCGGAGCGGGGAGAGGGGAATCCAGCCCCTCCCCCTGTCACAGCAGAGAGCCGTGACAGGATCGAGAGGCGAGCGAACCCGGTATGTGTTCGGTCCCCTCCCGATCTACTGAGCCGACCTGTGACAGTCTCATTGTCACAGGTCGGCTAGAACTATGAGGTGAGCGAAAAGCACTCACCTCATAGTTCTCCTTTAATCTTTTCAACAATATATTTGAAAAATAAAGCTGTCTGGGAAGTTGGTGAACATAAATGAAATGTCTGTAAAAGAGTTCTAATAATTAAATGCTCAGTGCAGTAACTTTTACCAACTAATCAAAATTCTATTTTGTTTGGTTGTCAGAAGGCAGGACACAAGAAGAAGGAAAACTTTGTATTTACCCTTGGTGTGAGGCTACCCCCGCACTGCTTTATAAAATTGCATTTACAAGGTACTTGGTGTTTATTTGAATAAAGCGATCATTGTTTGAGATAAATGAATTTTACTGCATGAATCGCTGAGGGATTATAAGCATTCACATACGCAAACTCCCCTGAGGATGACAAGTGAAATGTTTGCTTACAGATCTATTAGCACTATGGCTGTCTGACATCACCTGTTACATCACATAGCGTGTCCCTGTCTGTGTGCTTCCTACCGCTATATCACTGCAGGACACAGTAGCATTCCTGTGACTGGATTTGGTAATTCTTCGACTCCACTGGGGACATTTCCCCTCACTTTCTGCCCCTGTGACAGCATGAGAAGAATGGAGGTCACCAGGACAGGGAGATAGCAAAAAAAACCAAACCTCATTCTGGTACTAACCTTTTCCCACTTTACTAAAACAAAGTGTCCCCATTGGTGAGATCACTTCCTGTCACTCCGTGCCTCTGTCACCTGCACTGGAAATCAGGAGAAATCTCCTCAATGTAAACACAGCTATAATAACAATACAGTGTTTGTCCCCCTCCAGTCTATCCAATACTAAAACAGTGTTGTATGGATCTAGGATCTCTGTGGTAATGCACACTCCTCCCAGGTCCACACACACATCGGGGGCATTCCCCTTCAGCCCATAAAGACAACACTGCTACCATACCGGAACTTCTTTCCGTCAGTCAACCCTTCGGAATGCGTTCCAACGCCGCTGTGCACCGTCTATTGATGTCTGTGCTCCGCTCTGCTCTGCTCGCAGGTTCCGCCTTCCTGTCTGTTCCCACGTAGAGAGAGGAGTGGAGCACGCTGGTATTGTGTCTGGGCTGGTCACTGATCAGAGGACGTCGTGGTACGTAGTGATTGTGAGCGGCTGGCAACAGACCGACATAGTGTCATCTCTAGCCCTGTGTATTTCTATGACTGTCAGATGGGAGAGGGGGGGCTGTGTGGGACATGTCATAAGTGTCCCTATTTATTTTGGCTATTGCTCTCATGAATCCTTCTCTTTAAGGCCTGGTTCACACCTGATCATTTTTCCGTGTGGATCTAGTCGCGCAAAACATACATTTCCATGCAACTCAATAGCGACTGTTTACACCTTAGGCCCCATTCACACTGCGCGATTCGCAAATCGCGCGTTTGTCGTGCGATTTGCATTTTGCGCGATATCGCGCAAATGCATTGAGCAAGCTGGAATCGCGGCAAAATCCGCTCCAAAAAGAGTCCTGCTGTAGCGACGCACGACCCGCGACAGCAGGACCCTTTGCCCCATTGCCAAGCATTGGAGAGCGATAGCGATAAATCGCTCAATGTGAACGGGGCCTTAGTGTTGCATCGCGAGTAGGAAAACGCCTGTAACGTAAAAAGAGAGAAGAGTTATTTTCAGGTGGATGTCGGTTTTGGTCCCAAAGACATATTTATGGTTGGAGAAACACACAGAAAAAAATCGTACAAAACTGAAATCGCCTACATGTGAACCAGGGCTAAGTCTCTGTTCACACCTATGCGATTTGAATGCTTTCGGTTGACGCATGATAAAAGAATTCTCATTATTTTCGATATGGTCCATTCACAACTACGCAAAGCGCTAACACGCGGCTTGGAAAATGGTGCAGGTGCTTCTTTTCAATGGGAACACATGAAAACATGCACGTGTGTGCGTTCTTGTGCGTGACAACAGCCCCCTAGCAACCTATACTTTGACATTTATTAGTCCTAGTGTCCCACTCCTGAAGGTGGCACTATAACCCAATGGTGAACATCTAAAGATCTCTGCTGTGTCCTTCAGTAAATGGAAGAGAAATACTAGTTGCCTGGATCACACTGATACTTTAGCATAAATACTTTCTGAATCCCTGATATGGAATAAGAACAGCTCAGCCTAGGGGCGGCCCCTGACGATGGCTAAAGCCCCCAGCAGCTTAGTTTTTAACCTGGTGTCAAAGAGTTAGGACCTAAGCTTCCTGTTGGAATCTTAGTTCCCTTTATTTTGCAGGGAATCCTTGTTTTTGTTTATTTTTGTTTTTTTCTTCAGTCTTCAAGGTGTTCAATCAACAGCTGAGCTCGGTGACAGGCTGGATAATGTAGATCCTTGTAGTCCCCACAGCTCTGCCAGTTAGCGCATGCACATCCTTAGCTACGTGCGGGGTCAGCTGCAACAACCCTATCCTGGACCTCAGGTCAGCCTGTGAGTGTTCCTCTTGGGGGCACGTATGACCGAATGGCTTGCTGTTCTGTCACAGTGTCCTACCAGGCAGACAGCACCCCCATTTCGGTGGGGAGGCGATCTGTTGCGGGGAGGGTAGCCCCTCTTTCTATCAGAATATGGAGAGTATAAGGAACTCTCTCTCTTTTACCCCTTCTCCTCCCTGGGTGGTTTGGAGCGGACCCCTGGATATTCAACTATGTGACCTTCGAAGTGGGACAAATGCTTTAGCTGGTGCATATGCATTTGAGCCAACAGGACATCATAGTCTGAGTACCCTGGGTTCTCCACCCCATCCTTCTCCTGCTGTGCTTGCAAATCCCCAACCCCTCTTTCTTCCGCTTACATCGCACTCTAAACTTTCTGTCTCCTATTCATATCTACCTTTCGTAGGCCCTTTATTTATTTAGTCTTCTTTATTTGTTGATTCTTAACAAACCAATGATGGGCTTGAAGCTTGTTTTTATAAGTGTGCCTGCATGTGGGCCCTACTTTACTATACTTAATATTACACCAACAATACATGTATTTTGGGGCAAATGGGCAGTCATCTTTTGGTACTCTAGCCCCCTCTGATCTTGCTTATATTGTATAACAATCAACATTCTCTGTGCCCATGTATCCTATTGTCAGGGTTTCTTGCCCTTCCTTGTCCGCTTGAGCTGCAGGTTCAGCTTCTGTGCAGTTTTTTCTGGCACTGACTGTTGCTCCTAGGCACCCTCTTATGACCAAACACGTATACGTCATCGTTCTGCGACTTCTGCCAAGCTCCTGACAACTTCCTGTCTCACAGTGATGATGCAACTCCAGTTCACTATATAATTAGCATTCTTTTCACTTGGTTTCCGCCCATGCTTTTCTACAGACCTACCAAGTGCTCTCTGCTTGTTCCTGTGCTCCGCGTATGACCCTGGCTGTCTACTGATCTCCTGGTTCCAGACTCTGGCTATTGTACTCATTCATCCTGCTTTCTGCATTGCCAGACCTGGCTCGGCTGACTACCCGCTTTGCCTTCTAACCACTGGCTTGCCTCTGACTACGTCTTGGCTTTACCTACTGTTTTGCTATTTTGTTTTTTTTATTGTCGATTTCTATAAACTTTTTTTTCTTTTTTAACCTGCAGTTTTAGATTCTGTCTGGTTTCTTGGTTCCTTGATATTGGTTCCAACAAAAAATGATCAAGAAGAAAAATAGTGTGAAAGAAATAAACCAAACAATTAACTACTAAAATCCTCTGTTAAATGTTTTCTTTCACTGGCTTGTGTGCGCACCAAAAGTAGATGCATAGTAGATGCCAAAGCGCTACAGGTTGGGCAACAAAGGCGTAGTGGATGCTCATCACCATGTATAGTTAAACTTCTATTCATTAACTGTTTCATTTCCATTCTCTATAACATATCGCCACTTATTATTAATAAATGTCTAAATTACCATAATATCGTAATAGTTTGCCAACATGCTTCTCATGGATCCTACCAGTCTATTAATCATCAGTAAAGCAGTTTAAATCCACCTCTATATTAAGGCCATAATTAAGGTCTAAGACTGTTTCATTCTAAAATCCATTCTGTTTCATTTTTAAATTAACTATTTTCTTATTAGAACTTCTCCATCGTCTCTCCACTTTATCCTCCAGAATTGTAATAATGTGGGATCTGTAATATGCTTACGCAAAAAATGCGGAGAGACACTGTGTTGTATAAAACCCCCTTTTAATATTCTATATATTTGTCAATCCATCCTATATATTGCAATCTACACAGGCACTACAATACATAGGTTTAACTACAGTATGTTGATGAGCATGTGATACATTTATCAATAGAAAACTCTCTCCCTGTCACATTTGAATGAAACCTAAATCTTCTCATCATATTATTTGTACGGAGTTTACAAGCCTTCCACAAGAATAAAAATCTTACAATAAATATGATTTGTTTTCCATGATTAAGGGAATGTATAATATGATCTTCTATAACTATAGGATTCGGCTCCATTCGGTGAGTTTTGAATGGAATGTTTGATGATGGAAGATTATCAGACTGGAGCACAGAATATTTCAGTTGATGAATATATCACTGTAGATTATGAATAAGGAACTGGTGGCGGTTCTGTTTTGCATGCAGAAGACTGGATTCTAAATGCAGGTTTTTCGATTACACAAACTGTTTAAAATTTTAAGCGATTAATGAAAACTTTGGATTTTTATCTCTTTTGACAATCGTCACCAAGACAAATTAAGAGGGTAAATCTTCCAAGTGAGCACACACCACCAATAAAAAACAGACAAAGCCTGGGCTTGTGGGTAACTAGCCACATGGGTAACTTAGTCACCTTAATCCAATCACTATGTCATGTAATATGTCAAAATAGATGTTGATTATGCAAGAACATGACAGCAAATGTGAAAGCTTCACAAATCACATTGTTATTTTCCCATAATTTAATCACCACTATGCCTTGAAGTTTGGGACAGGCGGTAATTGTTCATGTTGCGTGGCTTGAAAAGCCCATGCTCCATTCCAAAACTGAAAAAATAGTTTTGGCTAAAGATAAACTTTAAATGTCATTGAACATAGTTTGGTGATGGAGCACCAAGAACATCCATCCAGTATTGAAAATCACACCTCTCTGCCACACTGCACAGCCAGGCAGGTGAAATCACTAGGTCCCGTTTTTGTGGTTCAGATTTACAGTTCCCTTTGTCACTCTACTGCTCTGGACATTTGAACGCTACACAAGCAACTGGCCAGTAATGAGAATCACGCACATCTCTGCCACACTGCAGGGCGAGGCAAGTGATACCACTAGGTCCTTATTTCTGGTTTAGCTTTACAGCTCTCTTTGTGTCTCTACTGCCCTTTGGATATTGAATCAGCAGTGTCATGATATAGGTTCATTTCTCAATGAGCAGACAAGAAGGTGTAAAGCTGTAGAGGTGAAAAACAGATAATGAAGCCTACGTTCTGCACACATGCAGGACATAGGAGCCTAATCTTGAGTATGTATTGTGTCTGAGGTCTGTAAATCTCTTTCTCTTCCCCCTTTCTCCCTCTATATAATAGTATTCTGCAAACGTTTTAGGTTAAAAAAATGCTGTCAAGTGATGATGCTTATGATGATGCCACTGGACATCTTCCAACTGCAAAAGAAAGTCACCATCATGTGTCTTTCATGTGCTACACTAGCAGGGTTATTCACTAAAGGGTGAAGAGTTTAGAGAAGGCAGGAGAAGTGAACAATCTAGGACAACATAGCTGATTTGGAAGAATTCTCCAATTCAGCTCACTTTCCAGTTCAGCTATGTTGTCCTAGATTGTTCACTTCTCCTGGTGTCTCCAAACTCTTCACCCTTTTGTGAATAACCCTGTAAGTTTCCTTGGCTGACCACTGCGCTTTCAGTACTCAGTGTTGAATGTTTCTTTGAGCTTTGGTAGAAGAGTTTGGATAGCACTTGTGGAAACACCTGACTTCCTTTGAAAGAACTGGTTAATGCAGTAAGACCACCCGTGTCCTTTTGCTGTGCTGTCTTGCCATTGTGTAAGATTTCTTACATTGAACTGCCCTTAGGCACCTCAGCTTTTTAGTAGGGCATGGCTTTTTCTCACCAAGTTGTATTCCTCCTACATAGCTAATCCTATTTGATTTAATTATTACATTTTAACCTGCCTGTTATCTTGTTGATCATTAGCACCAGTTTGGTATAATTGTTTAATCATGCACTGGACCATATGCCTGCAAAATATTCATCTGTGTGCAAGTTTAACAGGGAGAATTGATGCTGTTTTAAAAGCAAAGTGAGGACACACCAAATATTGATTTTATTTTTTTCTCTGTTAATGCACTTTGATGGTTGTTAATTGATAAATAAAAACGATTTATTTCATTATTTTTTATAATAATTCTTACATTTCAAGATGTTTGTTTGCGCGGAGTGTTGTCTTAAATCTAAAACATAAATCTGTGTATAATATTTGTATTCTACATCTGCAGGTGCTATCCTGAGCTAGGTTACAATGAATGTAACCTATCACCTTGAACTTTTTCCTGAACATAAAGTGACTTTACTTTTATTCAAAGATGTTAAAAATGCATCAGGACTAAGGAAGAAAGCAATCGATGGAACTATTGATGGAGCTTTACTGAATCCTGCAATGGTAAGAGGTTCTATTGTTGCTTCATATAATCTTCAAATAGATTTATGTATATTATTTGATTTACATGGGCAACCTCCAATGCTTGCTGGTATTGTCAAAATGTGCCACACTCGCTAATCTAAGAAAAAAGAAAACTTGCCGCACTCCATACTAGAACACCCCAAAAAAAGACGGGTGCTCGAAATGACTGCGGATGGCACCGCCACACGTAGACAAAAATAAAGACGTCACCAGCACTCCAACAACGATAATAACAGCAATTAGATGCTCATTTAATAACATATGCTGTCTCTCATTGGCAAGTGCTTTCGAGGGCCACACAGGGTCCCCTTCATCAGGCTCACTCTCTAATCTCTCACATATTCCTGCTGGCCCATAACTATGATGAGCTGCTTCACAGGCCAGTAGGAATGTGCAAGGGGGAGGAAGTGATAAGCAAGCTTCAAGACTACCAAAAATTGTTGGAGCTTTATAGGTCAGATTGGCCCAAAACTTGGGCTTAATGGTTGGGAGTCGGGGCTAATAAAAGGCTCAAAAGGTGCCTGCACTTTACTTCCAACAGCAGTACCCCCTTCATTTGACAAAGGTGATTCGAAACTGCTGGCAAGTATACAGCGCAAACATCTGCAGCAGCCTACAAGTCCCACCTCTACACTTAAATGCTGGGCTGTAAAAGGAATATCCTCTTGCTTATGTGTATTGTACTTTATTATTAGACAGTGCCTTTCAAAATGTTAAAGAAGAACTCCAGGATTTAGAAAAGTTAACACTGCAAGGGTTAACTTCTTGTTTTTCTCTAGGGTTAAAAAATTAACATACTCACCTGATGCTCAGTCCTATGGCAGTGAATGCTCACCTTTCTCCCCTTCCACTCTGCATCTTGCGTCTAATAAACCTGTATTGGATATGATAACGTCATGGGTCCTTAGACTGCTAAAGCCCGGGGGAATATAGGCTGCAAAGACCAGTCTAGCAGCCAGGTGGGACCGAGGTTCGGGTGAATATTTCTTCTTTATTTTTGCCCCTAGACAAAACAAGCATTTAACCCTTGCAGTGTGGGGTTAGCCCCACTGTAATGGTTAACTGTTCAAAATCCTGGCGTTCCGCTATAAAGTTTCACTCTAATCAAAATATAAAAGTTCAGCCTTTAAATTCATACAGGAAACACTGTCTATCTCCTTAGTGCTTCTTTCTTCATCTATATGTAGCTGTAGTACACCATTCCTTCTGACTAAAATAAATAAAACAGTTCAGCTCCTTTTAAATGCTATAACAAACAAAATAATACAATGAAAAAAACTATATAAATACATATAGTGCTATATAAGCAAACATGTGTGTGTGTATATATACAGTGATGGCTAAAAATATTGGCCCCCCTGCATTTCTGTTAGCTAATGCACCACTTCGCGTAGAACATTGTTGCAATTACAAATATTTAGGCATTCTCATGTTTATTTCTTTGTTTGTATTGGTATGACACAAAAAAGTGGAGAGAAATAAAAGCCAAATCTGACACATTCCACGCAAAGCTCAAAAAATGGACAGGACAAAATTATTGGCACCCTGACTTAATATTTGGTAGCACAGCCCTTTGGTTTCAGTAACATTTTATGACAACCTGTTTAGCATTGGTGGATATCTTTATGCCCGGTTCACACTTTGGCATTCCATGAGTCCACGCCAAAAGCACGTCACATAACACATCCAAAATGTGCGCTGCACTTGCGGTGCCATTATTTGTTAGTAGCACCCCAAACACAGCCAGGAAAATGTATGTTTTTGCTCACACATGGACATGCGTCAAATGTGTACAAACATATGGTCAAAAAAACACAGGAGCTTGCAGCTGAAAATGTTTCATGAGCTTCTTTGCCTCATTTGTCACGTGCAGCAACCCATTAAAATGAATGGGATGTTGCGGGGCCCCCCCGGCAAAAATGCTAATGAATGTGTGTTCACGTATCGCCAAGTGTGTACCAGGCCATAGTGTTTGTAATACGATTTACTACTAAGTCAGCTATTACTAGCCTAACCATTCAAAACATTCATGTGTTGTTACAACCTGGAATCAGGTAAGGTTCATTCAAATTCACTCAGTCCCTTAATCAGCAGCTCATCAGCGTTACCAGATCTCTAAGATTTTAAACATTAACATACATTGATTTGATTATTTACGTATATCTCTGAAACATTAAAGATCCTTTAGTTACCAGATTACCAGTTAACAGATTTTTTAACTTTGCAGATTGTGGATCCACTCCAGGTTCTTGTTGCAGCAAACAAAGCTATCCATTTACACCTAATGGGAAAAATGAAAACAAGAAGTCTTAACTCTGAAATTATATTTAATTTATCACCCACAAACAATGTAAGTATGGCTGTGCATCTGATACCCACCATGTCATGTATAGTCAATAGCTTTATTCATTTTCAGCAAGTGAATGCTGCCGACATATGTCCGTGTTACACAAATACAAACATCTGGAATAGGGCTGCAACAATTTATTATTTTCATAATCGATTAGTTGGCCCATTATTTTTTAAATTTAACGGGTAACATAAAAAAAATTATTACCATAAAATTATTACCATAATTTATTTAAAATAAAATACACAAATGCAGCATTACAGACATAAAGTTCACTTCATAAAACGGTATGCTATTTAAATGAATGGCACCGCGACGCACCACCTGCAGTTAAATTTGTTGGTCTGAACCTGAAAATGACTTTTCCCACCTTTTGTTATATATATATATGTATATATATATAACACCGTATTTTCCGCTCCATAAGACGCACTTTTCCCCACCCAAAAAGCGAGGGGAAATGTGTGTGCGTCTTATGGAGTGAATCCCTATCGCCCGCCGCCCGGGACATGCAGTTTCGGGAGCTGGGCGAGTAGTTTTTTGTACATTTAGCCCTAAATGTACAGTGGGAGCCGCTGCTCATTTAATACAAGTGATCTAATCAGATCACTTGTAGCAAATTGAGCTGCGGCGGCGATCGTGTACCGGACCCCCCCGCCGTGGTTTTCGAGGTCCCCCGCTCCTCTGGGGGACCCGTGACCACCGCATAGGAGCTCACCATAGAGCCCCTAGAGCAGATGAAGAACATCCATTCTTCGTCTGCTCTGTGTGATCACTGAGACCGTGGCGCTGTAATCACAGCGCTACCTGTCTCAGCTGCCACTAACTCCCTGCGTCCTATGGTCCGGTGCGCCTTATGGATCGCAAAATACGGTATATTTTTTTAAAATAATTGTTTGTATTAAATTAGACATTTTAACGAGTTTCATGGATTTAAAATAATGCAAATTGTAGAACTCTAAGCCAATATAATAAAATAACCAACCTTTGAAAAATGGCCTGGATGGGAAGGGGGTTTAACACCGCGGATGTCAACTGGTTAAAATAACACAACAAAATTGGACCAAAAATACAAATATATATATACAGTGTATGTAAAAGCCCAGTCATCAGTTTAGCGATGAATATTGGCCCGAGAATTGGTGCTCCATATTTACCTGTCCAAATGAAGGTTCGTACGAAAGATTTGTCTTTGCCACCAGAAAATGCTGTCAGACAATTGAATGTCATTTGAAATTTCGTTTAATTCTAAAATTAGATTTTGGAATCAATAGAGTTAGAGTGAAAACCACATTCAAGGCTAGAATTCCATGCATCTGAAAAAATTTCCCATCCTACTCCTTTGCGTTTTTTTGATTGGCGATTTGACCTCACCAACTACCAGAAAGTTGAAAAAAGGTTCTCTCTTTTTTTCCGAAAGTTCTTTTGAAAATCTGAACAGTGTATGATGAGCTTAAGTCTTACAGTACACACGTCATGTAGTACCAAACCCTTCAGCTTTTTTCCAACAACTTACTGCTTTAGATATTGACGCTTTAACTTAATGTGTATGCATACCGGGAACAGGCAGCAAGGGTGGTTTCATGGTACCTTGTACAGGAAAGGAGCCGCCCAGAAACCAGGCGGTGGTGCTAGTGCTTAGGGGACTAGCTGATTTCAGAGGAAGGAACAAGACATTAAGAGGATGGGCAGCAGCAAGATGCTGAATTCACTGTTTTGTGGGGGTTTTGCAGTGAGGTTGATTTACGAAAGGAGTAGAGATTGTTCACTTAAGTATTTATTTCTTAATTATAGGTATTTATGTAGCACCAACAATTTACACAGCACTTTAACTATTGTACATTTACATCAGCCCCTACCTTCAAGGAGCTTACAATCTGAGGTCCCTATGTCACATACACACATGCTAGGTAGGGCCAATGTAGACAGGAGCCAATTAACCTACCAGAATTTCTATGGCGTGTGGGGAGGAAACCCATAAAACACAAAAAGAACATGCAAACTCCATGCAGATAGTGTCCTGACTGGGATTCGAACCAAGAAAGTGAATGTTTACTTTGAATATCCAATTATGTGTGAAGTTAAAAAAAAAAAAAGGATTTTTGCTAGAATGTAACGGGTTACCTAAAATGAACATGACTTCATCGTATTTTCAAATCTCTATAAACATTCACATTTCTAAGTGAATAGTCTCCATTCCTTTAATAAATCAACCCCAATATGTGTATCTAGATGGACAGACTGCAGTTCGGTCTGAACATATGTGAAATTCAATTATATTATATAGAGTCTCCAACTATGTGGGGGAATTCAGGAAACTGTCACCCCCACTTTGTTTTGTTCCATGAAAAAAAATGAGTGATTTATTTTTGTAAAACAAATGTGCACTAAAATAACTTTGGCACCAAGCAAGACTTTCTAATTGGAGAACTTTTGCTATGCGGAGTGGGCTGTGATGGAATGTAGGGAAGAGTATACAAAATTTGAATTGACTTTAATTTGAGACCATTCCCTCTCTTTGCTTTTCTTTACTTAGAGCGAGACAGGGTACACAGTTATTATTTTAGGAACAGAAATGTGTTTTGTTTCTATTCTTAGTTGTTATTGCGCTAAATGTATCCATTTGTCAAACAGATAATGTCTTGTTACTTTCCTCTTGTCCAATATTTTACATCTGTGCTCTGCCTTTTGTAAAAACACTTTTGGGTAGGAACATTTAAAGCAGAACTCCAGACAACATTTTTATTAACACTTGCAGTGGGGCTGCCCCCGCATAGCAAGGGTTAACTGCTCGTTTTGGTCTTGGCAGGAAATTGACAACGTTATACTCCTCCGATTCTTGGAGATGGCTGGCTGCGACAGCGCTTCTTCGTGCCTGTCTCCTCCTACGCAACAGAGTCCTTTGCAGCCTCACGTCCTATACACTGTGGGGGGAATTTATCAAAACTGGAGAAGACAAAAAACTGGAGCAGCTGTGCATTACCAACCAATCAGCATCCACCTTTCATTTTCAAATCTTAACTGAACCAACTGAAAAGGGAAGCTGATTGGTTGCCATAGTCCGGAGTTCTCCTTTAAAGCTGATCTCTGTCCATAACATTTAAGAAATCTTCCTAACCTTTCCCCTACTTTAGAGAATCTATAGTTTTTTGTTTTTTTTAAACTAACTAAAATTCATGTTTCCTAACTAAAACTGCAGCCATGTGACATGCTGGGTACCAAGTCTTCTTTCTACTGGCCCAAAGTGTGGGGGGGTCCTTCTTGCAGTGACTACATCTCTTTTTGGTGACACGGACACTGACAATTAGCTGAGAAAATTGTCCATCACTGGAGTGTTCACAGGGTCTTGTTGTCTTAAAGGGGCAGCAGTAAGGCTTGTCAACTGCATGGAGAGCAGTTTTAGATCACTGGTCTTACCACCTGAAGAGGCATTACAGGGTGTAACATGATAGCGGATTTAGAAAGGTTTTAAGGGTTATAGAGGCTACAAAAAAAGTTTGAGCAGCTTCAGGGGTGAAATTAGACCATTTTACAAATGTTGCTGAAATTATTTTCAGTTTTCATACAGAACGTATGCCGATCCTTAGAATCATTCATTGAAACAGTGCTCATGTTCATAAATGCTGTAACTGAGTCAAAGTGTCCAGCCAACAGAAAAGAGAAGTGGAGTGGATGGTTTGGGTAATACTTTGATACGAGGTTGGTGGTTCCTGGCAGAGCTGTGGATGGCTTTATAAGTTGTTGTTAGTATTTTGAATTTAATTTGTTGGGCAATTGAAAGCCACTGAAGGGGTGAAGGTAAGGTAAAGTGAATGAGTCTGGTAGCAGTATTTATAATAGTGAAGAGGGGAGAGAATAACCTGTCTAGAGGTAGGCCAATGAGGAGGAATTGCAGTAGTTGAGGTGAGAGGCAACAAGGGAGTGAATTAGTCGTTTTTTGGTTTCATTGGTTAAAAAAGGGTTAATAAAAAAGAATTCCTGGAGTTCTTCTTTAATGGTGTCTCAAAGTATAGAAGCATTAGGATCCTCATGACTGCCAGGAAGCAAGGATTTTCATGATAGGTCAGCAATGGGAGCCTCTATGTTTCTCTCATGACAGGTTCCCTTTACCATATGCTTATAATTCAAGCTGACCTCCAGATAAATAAATGTAAATAAATATAAAATAGTTACTTGTAATTTTTACACAGATCCTAGTGTTTTCTTGGTGTCAGCTCTCTGAATTTCAACACTGATACAGAAAAGGAGGGTCAGGCTGCTTCAGGATGTATTGCTCAGTTGCAATCTTTTTGACTGTGCTTTCTTGCCGGGTTGTCTAGATCTCAAGATAAGTTCACATGTACGCATTCAAAATTTGTATTTAGCTCATTTAGTTACATTTTGCTAATCCCATTGCAAGCGTGCATACTCACAAACATATACATACTGTATATTTAAAAACGACCATATATTAAAGGCAGTGTCGGACATACAAATAGTCTTCTACTTTCCTGTACATGAGGAAATGAACCTGTATAAACATGATATGTCAGAAAAAAAGAAGGCTTATTAATGTCTTTTCCATTTAGATTTCGGAAGCTTTTAGAAAGTTTGGCCTGTCAGACAGTGATTCTGGAGTTCTTGTTGTTTTGACTGACGATGGGACTAAAGCCTTGAATTCTCAAGAAATAATCTCTTATGTGGAAGGCCAGCAAGTGCCTCTAGCAGAACTGTCACAACTAACAGACTTCACAAAAGTGAGAAAGGTACTTGGAGAAAATAGACAGATACTTTTTGTTTTGAATGTATTTTTGGTATTTGTTGGAATCCTATAGCTAAGATAAATCCTAATCTTCTCTTTGATAAATGTTGATGTGTCTCCTGTTTGTTATTCGAAATTAAAATGTATTTTAAAGTGAATTTAAAGTGTATTTTTGCTGTCAAATGAAAAAAAAAACCCTCTGTATGTTTGTTACGTGTTGCCATTCACAAAGCATACCATCGTTTTTTTATAAAAATGTCTTACCTTTTAGATGTTCCTTTGGTGAAGATCTATGTGCAGATTCCAGGCTACTCTGAGCAGTTAAAAGTGAAAGTAGAGGCACAACCTGAGGAAGAAACGGTGCTTCCGCTCATTAACATACAATGCTTTCAGATCTTTAACCATGGCTTTCCCTACACTATTTGCTGCCTGATGCCAGAGGGGGTGGGCATGGGATGGGGGGCACTGCTGTCGGTGAATGGCCATTATGGGGGAAGGTGGGGATGCTGTCAGTGAAGAGCTCTTAGCAACCTAGGACGCTGTGGCTGCCCCCTCCACACACACCTGAGGCTTCCTCATTAAAGGGATCCTTTGTTCGGATAGACAGTGTTCAGTTCTAGTTTACAAAGCATATTGCATAAATCTGCCAGCTCAGTACAGACAGGGTTAATTAGATTAAACATAACATCCCTCAGCCCCCTTCTTAACATTACATAGGGGTAAGCTAGGTTGGATTTTTAAGCAGGTAAAAATGTAAGCAGCAATTTCTAAATATCTGGTAAGTTATACGGAATAGGAACATATAACAAATATAAAATAGATGCTACACCAATTTGGCTGCAAAACTGGAAATACACTTTAAAGAAGTTCCTTGGGACACTATCATAAAGCTGTTTAATATGAAATACGTTTTCTGATCTTCTTCCCACTGAATGGGACCAGGATCGACGCTGATCACTTCCAGTCCCTCAGCTATCATTGCTCAGCTGCAGAAGCCGAACAATAAGCTATTGGAGTGCAACCTGCGCTCCAATAACTTATTTAGAGTGGAAAGGTGGCATTAGGGGTGCTTTTGGGTACATGTCACTACTAATATGCTATCACATGGGGGGTCTACAAGGCACAAACACGCGTCCGATGCACCTACGTACAAAAAACGACAATCACGCTACACATGCTGTGTATCGCCACCCACGCCAGAGTAAGCCCAATAATTCTCGGGTCAATATTCACAGATTTCTCTAAACTGATGACCTGTATGCGTTTTTAAAGCGTGGCCTATGGACAGTTTGGGGCACCATATTTTCTCGCCGTTTCACGGATGCATGCAATTTTTTACCTGGCCATGTTGGGTATCTATTTACTCATTGTAACTTCGTTTTTTATATTTTACCCAAAAAAATGGGTATTATATTATGGGTGTTTTTGGGCAAAAAATTAACTTAGGTGCATTTTTTACAAAATTTTAGGATTTGATAAAGATTTGCGCTAATATCGTGCAACATAAAAATTTGCAACTGCCGCCATTTTTTTCTACAGGGTCTTTGCTTTCAGGAAATGTATAATGTTTTGGGGGTTTATATTAGGGATGCACCAAAAATGTCAGTCACCGAAACATAATGGTCGAAATTGCCACTTTTGTCAAAATGCCAAAAGTGCCATCTTTCGGGCCGAAATAGTGGTGCCTCCCTGGTTTCTCTCTTCTCCGATGGGCGCTGCTGTGTGTCCCAGTGGGGACTGTCACAGGAGACCGAGCAGGGCGGGGGAGGAGAGTGATGTGAGCGGCCGGTGTCTCTCCTCCCGCATCGTTCAGCCTCCTGTGACAGATTAGGAGAGCAGTGTGGGAGGAGACAGCTGTCAATACTGTCACAGGAGGCTGAGCTCGCCTCCCGCCCCGCTCAGCCTCCTGTGACAGATCGGGAGAGCAGCGGTGTCGGGACAGAAATAGCTGTCACAGGAGGTCCAGGCCGGCGGTGCGGGGGAGGAGTCAGCTGTCAAAGGACATGCTCTCCTCCTTGCACCACTTGCTCTATTTTAAAAGGGAAATATCAGGGATCTGTTTAGACCCCTAATATTTCCCTGAAGCTCTCAACAGTAAAGTAAAAAAATAAAAATATTTAATAAAAAATAGATTAAAATATTTAAAACATTTTGAAAAGGTTAGGACATTTTTTTTAGTTTTCAGCCTGACATTTTTTTTATTTTTGGTTTTATTTCTGTATTGAAAATTTAATTTTGGTGCACCACTAGTTTATACAATATTTTGTCATTTTCAGGCCTAAAATTTGAATTATAACTATGGATGCACCGATACCGTTTTGTCGAGTACCAGTACAGATATTTCTCTTTCGGTACTCGCCAATACCAAGTACCAATACTGTTACTTCTGCTAGCATCGACCTGGCATCCCAGGCAATCAGGAAGCATGGCGGTGTGTCATTGCCCGGCTTCTTGATTGCCCGGGAAGCCGGCTCCATGCTGTTTGGCTGGCTCGATGCTGATTGACCGGGAAGCTGGCTCCAAGCTGATTGGCCAATCAGGAAGCCGGGAGGTGGGTCATGTTCCCTCGCAGCACTGCCGGTCAGAGGAAATCTCCCTCTGACCGGAAGTTCAGGTATCTGGGTAAGTATCAGAGTATTTGGGTGAATACAAGTACTCGCCCAAATACTCGGTGCATCCCTAATTATAACGTGGCAAAAACTGAAGAGAAAAAAAAAGCCATGGCAGCGATAGGGTTAAAGCTGACCATGCATCTTCTAGTGTGCAACTAACCAGTCTTAACCTGGGGTAATCACTTCTTCCCCCTACATGATATCCAGTATTTAATGCATTCTAGGCAATCTCCCATTACTTAATTAAAGATGTATATACAAATCTTTGAAAAAGTCACAAATCTTCCAATTTTTATAATGCAGTTTCAAGTCTCCTAGTGCAGTTGTTTCCACTGCATACTCAGTGCAATTGTACCTCTCTCAGTGTAGGTTTCCTTTATATCGGCATTATCCAGTATACACTCACTGGCCACTTTATTAGGTACACCTCTTCAAATACTCGTTAACACTAATATGTAATCAGCCAATCACATGGCAGTAAATCAATACATTTAGGCATGTAGACATGGTCAAGATGGTCTGCTGAAGTTCAAACCGAGCATAAGAATGGGGAAGAAAGGCAATTTAAGTGACTTTGAACATGGCATGGTTGTTGGTGCCGGACGGGCTGGTTTGATTATTTCAGCAACAGCTGATCTACTAGGATTTTCATACACAACCCTCTCTTGGGTTTACAGAGAATGGTCTGAAAAAAGACAAACTAGTGAGTGGGCAGCTCTCTGGGCAAGAATACCTTGTTGACGCCAGAGGTCAGAGGAGAATGGCCAGACTGGTTCAAGCTGATAGAAAGGCAACAGTACCTCAAATAACCACTCGTTACATCCAAGGTGTGCAGAAGAGAATCTCTGAACACCCAACACATTGAACCTTGAAGCAGATGAGCTACAGCCACAGAAGACCACACCGAGTGCCACTTCTGTCAGCTAAGGACAGGAAACGGAGGCTACAGTTTGTAAGGGCTCACCAACATTGTAAAATAGAAGATTGGAAAAACGTTGCCTGTTCTGGTGAGTCTCGATTTCTGTTGCAATATCGACTTGTTGGGTCAGAATTTGATGTAAACAATATGAAAACATGGATCCATCCTGCCTTGTATCAACGGTTCAGGCAGGTGGAGCTTCGCATCATGGATGTGCAGCCGATATATCTGCAGCAACTGTGTGATGCTATCATGTCAGTATGGACCAGACTCTCTAAGGAATGTTTCCATCACCTTGTTGAATCTATGCCACGGAGAATTAAAGCAGTTTGGAAGATAAAAGGGGTCCAACCCAGTACTAGCAAGGTGTACCTAATAAAGTGACCAGTGAGTGTATAATCCAGTGTGAGCTTTAGCGGCTTAATTTCTATTGAATTATTCAAATTTTAATAGTAGTGTCTTTATTTGCAGATGTATAAAATGAACACAGAAGAAGATAAAATTGGCTCTGTGCTGGATGCTGTAATCTGCAGAATGGCAGTGAAAGATGTATTATGAAGAATATATACTGAAAAAACTCCAGACAACTCTTGGGAATGTTCACTTGTATTTTATACATTGGTATTATGCCTTGTACAGTTACATTTAGTGTCTTCTATTTTTGCTTTTAGAAATAAAATGACTAAAATTCTATGTTCTAATGATTTGGTAAAAGTGTTGTGTTAATGATAATTTAATTATTTTCACATTCATTGGAGGTGCAGGGTAAACATGTCACAGATATAGAGCCGCTCAGGGGGCGGGCCCTTACTCTACTTGTACCAGAAAAGTTTAGATTTGTATAGAAACCTCAGCCACTGGTATTTTTACATCTGCTAGTCATCTTCACAAGCAGTCTTCTCTTAAAGGATTTTTAAACCCTCAGGTTTTTTTTTTTTGGCATATATCTACTGCTAGCAAGCAGAAGATATATGCAAAGACTTTAAAAAAACAAACAAAACCTTTTGAAAAAGGTTTTAACTTACCTGTGTCTTCACCGCGCGCTCCCGTCCGAACATCTGAAAAATTTCACGGGCGGCCGCAAAGGATCTTGGGGCGGGCGCATGCGCAGTTCAGATGTACGGCCAGGAGATGAGGAGAGACACAAGGTAAGTCTATGGAGCAGCGTGCACCTACACAGACTCCGTGGGACATGAGCGAAGAGGAGGACAGAGTAGTCAGCGCTGGATCAGAGATCCTCAGGAGTGCTGTGTCAGGTCCCTGACTTTACTGGTTTGCAGCATTCTGGCTTGGCTGCCATTTTACTCACCTGTTTCCTTCTTTGCATGAGCAGACTCTGGAACATTGCTCACTACTCCCAGGCTCCCTCTTATGGCCAGACAGGAGAGCATCATCTGAGAGAGTCAGATGGGAGATTCCTGTCTCTGAGTGATGATGTCACCCCACTCACTATATATAAACCACTCAGTACAGTCTGACCTTGCCCTTGCGTGGTCTTCCTGCTAGTGCATTCCTGTTGCTCTGAGTATCCTGATTCTGTGTATGACCCAATCCTGACTGACGTTCTCCTCTGGCTCCTGCTCCTGGCTTGTTCCTGACAACGCTGATTTCCTGGCTCCTGCTCCTGGCTTGTTCCTGACGACCCTGATCTCTGTGTTCCTGACCTGGCTTGTACGACTACCCATTCCGGCTCCTGACTCTGGCTTGTTCCGGTTTATGATTCTGCTTGCTCCTGTGGACACTGTTCTTAATAAATATTTTAACTAGCACCTTTTGCTTGTCTGGTTTTCATTGTGCACTGACATGCTGGAGGGACAGCTAAAAATTACAGTAAGGTAGAAGATCGGATTAAGAGACATCATTTAAGGTAAGTCCCTACACTAACATTGGGGCAGGTTAAAAAATCCTTTAATGTCACTTTAACATCTGACTTTACCTTTTTTTTTTATAATCTTGGGTTACATAATCGTAAGTGGAGTGATGTCACCCGAGTGGGAACACAGTAATGAAAATCTAACACGTGTTCCCCATTTTTTTACCAGGTTAAGTGGATATGTAAATATATTTCAATCACTATAAGAGTATGCACATAAAAACACCTAGATTTGAGGATTCTTAGACAAAAGAAGTAGTTCAATCAGCAATATACAGTTATTGGTAGGGTTACATATGTACACACAAATCAATATTTATAAGACAATGTACAGTACATACGCTGAGTGGCCAGATAATTATGACCACCTGACGTTTGTAGGCAAATTAGCTATAAATTTGCGCTGAAGTTGCTAGAGGGCCAGACCATTATAAATAGGGAAGCAGGTTGTTTACCACAACAGTGGAAGTGATTTTTTTCTGAAGATATGGGTAAACACCGCGATTTAACAGCCTTTGAACGTGGGATCATTGTTGGCGCTCGGAGCCACGGAGCGAGTATCAGCAAAACAGCAGAATTTGTTAAATGTTCAAGAGCAGCTGTTGGTAAAGTGTTTAAAGACTGGACTCTCAGCCCAAAATCTGGGTCTGAACGTGCGAATTGTGTCCGTCAGCGACTAGTCAATGTTAGGGCAGAACGGAGAGTGGCAAGACTGGTACAAGACAACAGAAGGGCAACAGTGCAGTGTCAGATTCCTCGCATCACCTTTCAACATCTCATGGAGTCATCTCGTGGCCCAACGAAGTCATCTTGTGGAGTCATCTCGTGGCCCAACGAAGTACTGATAAGGTGGTCATAATAATCTGGCTACTCAGTGTATATGGTCAGCTTTACGCATGTTCAAACTGAATGTCTTTGTGTCTGAGGTAAAAACAAGCACTTGGCTTGGTAACATTATCTTGTATCCCCTCCTTTCTGTACAGTAGCTATAAAACGGGGCACCACTTCAGTGAAGAATTTAAATGAGGTTGCTGTTTACCACCCATGCGAGTTATGATAAACAAAACAATGGTGTTTTGAATGAATCCTAGACAAGACCAGAAATATTTTGGTCATCTCGGACAAGCCCCCAAATGTTTGCTTGAAAAACTTTTACAGCTATTTGTCTGATTCTTGTAGTAAAGCCAGGAAAACTGTCCCAGTAGTAGTACTTAATGTACTTTTACTATACAACAATGATACATACACAAACTACTAAGGTACAGGAACAAAACATGCAGGCTGCTACAATTTATTCATGTTTGCACAAACGTGCACCTGCTAATTAATCCTTTTGTAGTACATGCAATGGTTTTTATGCAATCGGATACACCAAAGTTACTTAGCTTCAGTTGTTGCTGGTCTACAACTTTCTTTTTTACAGAAATAGTTTTTATTAAGGGTGTCACAGAAACAGTTTTTCAAAATATACAAGTAAAAGAAAGACATAAAGCATACACAACATGCAGACTTTGGTCTCCAATATATATGAAATATCCTCTGTCATACAGTATGTAAACCATCCATGTCGTAAGCTCATAGTAAAACCACTGAGTGAGGCGTGCACAGATCCCCACCACCAAGTAGGTCATAGCACCACCACCCCTCAAAGACCCACGTTGGCCCAGTGGTGGGTTCACTCCAAGGCATGGAGCCAAGAATTGGCAGAGGAGCAACCCCTGAGGATAGATGGCCAAGGCACTGCAAACAACACGTTGCAACAGACAAACAGGAAGAGAAGAGAGAAGGAGAGGGATAAAGAAGATACGAGGAAAGAAGGGAGAAGCGGAAGAAGAAGGGGAGGAGGGGGAGGGAGTGTCCACCTACCACTACGGTTTGTAAAGGGGCGACCGCCAGACGTCCCACAGAAACACCACCGCAGGCACTGGGGTAACAGAGGTATAGGAGAAACTCACCGCAGAGACCGGTACTCCTCAGAATCTAAAAACAAAATCCAGGGCATCCATCTGGCTATAAAGGTATCAGATCGGTCAGCCCGTTTTGCAATTAGCTACTCAGATCTCATCAGCCGACATAATTCCGCTGTCCATTTCGAAACCAAAGGAACAACGGGAATTCCAATGCCTAGGTATTACTACAATTGTAACAAAGAGAGGGGATTTCTTCACCTTAGAAATAGAGCCCGGGAAAATGGAAAGTAAAGCCATTTTAGAAGTAATGTGAATTTCAGTAGAGGTAGCTTGAGTGTAGACGTGTGAGACAGCTCGCCAAAAGGGCAGGAGCAGAGGTCAGCTCCACCAAATGTGGGTCAGCGTACCTAACTCCGTTTTGACATCTCCAGCAGGCGTCTGAGTGCGCTGGGCAAATTTGGTGCATTCGGTCTACAAATTTCTTATTAAACAGGACTTTGCTGGAACAGAGGCCGACTAAAGCCATGCTTCGAGAGAAAGAGAAACTACAAAGCCATTTTCCTGAGAACACCAAGAAGTCCTGTTCAATGAGCTGTAAATATCCCTCTACAGATGAACAATGTTGAGCAATGTAATATTACAATGTAATAGATATAAATCTATATATAGATAAGAGTAAAAATATCCCAGGTGCACTCAAGGCAATTAGATACAAACGGTCAAGTGGAAGAAGCACTCGTGTCTTTAATGAAGCAACATAGATACATTTATTGTCTGATCGACCATTAACTGTATCTATGTTGCTTCATTACAAGACCATGAGTGTCTCTATTTATATATACTGTATATCTGTTTTATATACAACTTTAAATGTGTTGATCGTCATTGCAGGTTGCTTTGAAAACTTTAGTTAAATAATGGTTCATTGGGGTTCATTGTGATCTTTTTTCATGCACTGATTTAACACAGACTAGAGAAGCTGCTGTCATTTGCCATATTGAAAGTCCTAGCAACAACAACAAAAGAACTAACATTTTCAGTACTGGCACAGTGTCATGTGCCCTTTCAGCAAGCATGATGCACCATCACTGTAAACAAAGGTAATCTTTTTTATGTCAGGCTAGAATAGTTTTGTTTATAGGTTCATAGTTAATATCTCACTGGGGATAAACAGGTGTCACAATGATTCACATGTGGGCACTCAGCACAGCCAGCCTGAGTGTTCTACTTCACCGCTGGAATACATCCAGTACTACTCATTTAGACAAAGCAATATATTGTCCAGCACATTGCTGAGAGTCAAGCTGTTTTATATTCAGCAAATGTACTAACCAATGTAAAAGCTTTGTACTGCAAGGGCATTTTTCAAACACTTGCTCCATATAATAATGTATTCATCATAGTTTAAATGATTATATTCTATACTGTTGTACTTAAACCTCAGTGAGAATTATTTTTATAGTTCTATAGCTCTTTACAAATTAGCATCAGATCCGTTCTTTGAAGGAGTACAACATCTAATGTCCCTGCAGTATATTAGTATTGAAGCCTCACGAAAGTCCTAAAACAAAAGTGTCATATTTGCTTCACAATGCCATTTTAACCCTATATCTTAAATATTCACCCTATATATTTAAATTTCTCATGCTGAAGCACTGTGTTCAGAAATTATTACACTGTTGTTTTCACTACTCCTTCACAACTCCACACCTCCTACCTAATGTTCTACCCACATCCCTGCCCATGTCTCTACTTTACCAGCCTTTCCTACAGCCCGTAGCTCAGTTGCATGTGACTTGTTGCACAATGCATTATGGGAGATGACCTGATAGCAAAAAAAAAAACAACAAAAGCTGCTACTCTGAAGAGGTAGGAATACTGTATGCAGTGGTTTTATAAGTAAGAAAATATTTTTGAGCATAACAACAAAGCTTTTTTTTATTTATTTCA